CGCCGGCACCGGCTCGGCGCCATGGATGCTGCTGGGGACAGTGCACGGCTGCTTGCAGGTGAGACCCCCTCGGCACCTCCCAGGAGGGCACAGCGGACATGCGACCATCACCGTGGCCTCTGGGCACCCTGACGGGGGATGGCAGGGGAGCGTTTGCCCCGTGCCCAGGGCGGTTGCCCATGAAGAGGGGGCGCGCGGGGTCTCTCCGTCCGTCGCGCGTGTCAGTCTGTCTGTCCTGCCCCGTGGCACAGTGCGTGTGGCCTGGCTTTGCTCTTGGCAGCGGAACGGGGGGATTAAAACCAGGAGCAGGGCAAGGGGCTGGATTTAGATTCCCAAGCGCATTCCCCACTGGATTAGAGCTGCTATGGGAATGAACTTTGGCAAGGGCCGAATTCGTGCCCTGGCACCAGTGCCCACATCAGCCTGGGCATGTCCTGTGCGGAGAATGGGAACGGATGGTGCAATCCGGGGTGTTGCTGGGCCGGGATCACCCGCCTCCTGCCCAGCCTCTGGGAACAGCCCTGAAGCGGGAAGGGAGCCGGTAAGTGACCTTGTCCCCCAGCTCATGCCCAGAATCCCAATCAGGGGCTGCTCGAGGGGGCTCCGCATGGTGCAAGCAGCAATTCGGGCTCTCTAGCCTCCTATTCCTATGCTTTGCTTCATGCCCGTCCCTGCTGGATGCCCCATTCCTCTTCTCTCAGCCATCTCCTTCATGGGCACTTCCACACCAGGCAGTCTGGGGTCTCTGGATGCCCTTGGAGTCCATGCCCACACTGCCTTTTTCTTAAAAAAAAAATCAAATTACTGCTAGCAGCCCTGCTAGCAGGAAACCAGCCCGGGCTCTTCTCAAGGACCGAACCGGGCTGGTCCTGCGGCAAGGGCCTTCGGGCGGCACTGCCTCCCCACGCTCAGCCTCCATTGAGGCTCCGCATCCCCAGCCCTTCCCAGACGTGCGGGATGGGGAAGGGCATGCGGATGTGCGGGACCCTGCTGCTGGAGCAGCTTTGGACAGCGCTTTCGCTTCCCCTGCAGCCATCCTGGAGTCAGAAAGCGATGAGGAAGAGGAGGTGGAGGAGGAAGAGGAGGATTCCGAGGAGGCAGAGGAGGCCGCGGCACAGGTACCTCTCCCGGGCTTGCTGCCCTCCCCTACATGGCTTGTGGTCCCCTGGTGCCGCTGCCACGTCCCCTCCTTCCCCGCTCCTGCCCCCCAGGAGCACCTGGACCTCGTGCAGGAGATGGATGAGGCCAAGGAGAGGCTGGAGGAGTTCGAGCAGGGTGAGCCTGTCCTTGTGGGCACACAGCCAGCTCCTGGCACCCCTCCTGGAGACAGGACCAGCTCAGTGTGGGACAAAGCGGCCCCAGGAGATGTGCCCTTGGGAGGCAGGTTTTCCATGCCCCCTTCCCATCGCTGCGCGCGCAGCGTCACAGGCGCTGCTGGCCGAGCTGGCGGCGCTCGAGGCCGAGGTGCACATCGAGAAGACGTGCCGGCAGCACGCCGAGGCCTATGCGGCCCAGGTGAGCCCTGCGTCCGCGCCCCTGCCCTGCCTTTTTGGTGCAAGTTCCTGCAGAAA